ACATGTAGTTTAATTTGAAGTAAATAAAATCATGGTGTATTATTGTATAAAAAGTCTTTGAAGAATGTTGATATTCTGAGGCTAACAATGATTTTAACATATGATGACATTATACATGAAACATTGAAGCATAAGAGGTTTTAGATACTTGATGATGATCTGAAATGTTTGTTATCAAGTGAATGGTTGCCATTTGTAGTGGTGGATTTCAAGAAGAACAAAGAAATGTTTGAATTCAACAAAAAAAGGATCAAGATAAAATGATTATATTTGTTGTACCTATGATAAGCTTGAATCAAGAATGGATAGAAAAAAAAGGGTCCTTGTTCAAAGAAAAGAAGATACCCCAAAATTTTGACATTTCACACATTTTAGGCATAAATAGGGTCAAGACATTCATAAATGCATGATAGCAAATACGATGTCACATTTGCAGGATTTTCAAAATAAAGTCAGAGGTTCAAGATATTGGAATTTTGAAATATGAGTAATCAACTCAAAATCCCTAAAAGATGGATATCCAAAGATTATATAAGCTTAGTATCCACAGAAAAGTAGTGGAACAAGTTCTTTCCCATATTGCAGATTTGATCTCCACGGAAGAGTGGTGGAAGCAAATCAATCTTGAATCTGATCTTCACGGAAGAGTAGTGAAACAGATTCTTTCTAAGCCAACTCTATCTCCACAGAAGAGTAGTGGAAACAAGCAATGCAATCAAGCCTTCACAAGAGAGTAGTGAAACAATGCAAATTCAGCCTTCACAAAAAGAGTAGTGAAGCAAGATCAGATCAAAAGTTCGATCTCCACAGAAGAGTAGTGGAACGAATTTTTTATCAAATAAAAAGCCACTAGACGAAAACTTCTTGTCTTTTTATCTTTGCTTTATTCTTGTTAACACAAAAATAAGCAAAGAGGGGCAGCTGTCGACAGTCGTTTTCGTACGAATTTGATTTTAATATAATATTATTATATTATAATTACGTTATTTTATATTATATTATTATAATTAATTGTTACAATTTTACAAGCCCGAATGGAAAACGGATTTAACCCAAGGCCAGATTACAACACGAAGCCTGATTGCAACCAAGTCCCAGTAGATCAAGATCCAGTTTAGGCCCAGACTTGACCCGAACGACCCAATAGGCCCAGAAGTAGATCCAAAGGCGATTAGGGTTTTACGCATGTATCTCCAGCGCTGCTCTTCCTCAATCGACCGATCCAGTAGCAAATCTACTGATATAGAATCATTTTTGGTAGAAAATAAGGTCAGATCTAGGTTCAGGGGAAAGAGAGCTTTGTTTTGATATATTTTGTTGATATCTGGCCACCGTTGGTGGCCGGCGGTGGCGGTTGACAACGGCGATCGGCTGTCGGCCAGGGACGAATTCCCTCCAGTGAGGGAATTCTAGAGAGATATGAGAGCTTCTTTCTCTAAGAGAGAGAAATAGAAAAGGAGAAATGAGGTTTGAAACCTCTTCAGGCATAATAAGGCCTATTTATACCCATCCCCAAACAGTGCCATTTTGGGGAGGAACCTGTGCGTAAATTTGGGTAGGGGAAATTGTGCCAGTAATCCCTGTAATTTTGTAAATTTGTAATTTTGTAAATTTGTAATTTAGTCATCAAAAGAATGATTCATATATTTTAATTTTGTTCTTTAATTTTATTTATTTATATTTTGATCATTGCTGCATATGTATATATATTTTAGGATAAATATCATATTTAGTCCTTAATATATTTAATAATTTACATTTCGATCTATATAATAATTTAGGATAAATTACATTATTAGTACATTAACTTAATATTATTTCAAATTATAGTAATTAATATTAATATTTTATATTTTAACCATTAATTATTACTATAATAATACTTATACTATTAAGTATTTATATCTTATATTAGGATTATTAATTCACATATTTTATAACTAAACCTATGTAATTTAAATATTTAGTATTTTAATGAGATTATTAATATTATTAATTAATAATTTATTTAAGTCATTTGTAAATTCGAATTTAAAACAAATTTATAATTTTTATTACAAAGACACTAATTAATAAATACTAGTACCAATTTTGGGTGTTATGGGGATGTTGATCCTCCCCCATACATAACCGACTCGCGAACTCATTTTTCTGGTAAGCAGACCCGAGTTGTATTATTTTAATATTATTCTTAAGAATTTTTATTAAAATAATATGACACTTTGGTGACCAATCTCACCATATAAAAATATTGGTGGCAACCCTACAATTTGGTGTTTCATCTGATTCATGGAGGATAAACACTTACTTTTTTGAGACTAGTTACATCGTTTGGGGTGTACTATTTGCACTCTCCGTCGCCGGGCAGAGAAACCTCTCAACAAGTACGCTTTAGTTTTATATCAATTTAAGTATCGATTTTATTTTTATTAAATTTAAGATTTAAGTTTAAATTATGTTAGTTCTATGCTAATATAAAGCTTGAATATTTTATGATGTTATATCATATTGTCAGACTACGGTAAATTTAGTGATCCAAGTAACTCAGAAGAGAAGGAAAAGACGCTGAATTAAAAGATTATCGTGGAGAAGATTTGATAACGAGGCAAAGGTGAATGCATTTCATTTGTATATATGTTTCGACCAAACATTAGCTTGTGATTAGCCAGTGTTGGAGTTACGTTAAGAAGTGACTCCTAGTATTATGTGAAGTGTGATTCAAGGTTATATGTTTATTTAGTAAGCTAATAGAGCTAGTGAATAAGTCAAGGACACTAGTTGGTAAAATCTGCCTAGAAATTTATATTTCGAACATTAAGTTTAGAAAATCATCAAAAAATTCTAAACAAATGATTAGATGATGAATCTTATACCATTGGATTCTTCTATCAGTCTAGCTCCGTTTAAAACTAACATAAACTGATTTTGAAGAGTATATAAAAAGATATGAATTTTTAATCAGTGATAGGTCAAAAAATAGGACATCAGATTCTGTCCAAAACAACTTCTGTCAGTCAACTTTGAAAATTTTCTATAAATTGTACAAGTGGAACTAGACGAATTGCATTACATGGTTATATTCGCATTTGAGTCTAAATTGTATCGGTGCAAACGAAATAATTTTTCAATGTGTAGATTAATACAGAATAATATTTCTTTGAAGGTAGCGCAAACTGCCAGAATATGAAATTTTCAATAAATTGTGTAGTGGAAGCAATTTTTAAAGCTTAGTGAGGATTATATTTGATTTAAAAGTAAATTGTTCAAATGAGTCTAGTTTATTTATTTAATTACTCTGATTGAGGACGACTTGCGATAAGTCAACCTCATTTTATTTTCCAGTATGATTTTTAAATTTTCAGTAAGAAATATTTCTATAATATTCTTCACTAGGTTTTATGAATGATTTTGAGTATGAACTGCCCAAGTATGATATTTATGATGATGAATTCTAAATGTTTACGATTATCAACATTTCACCGTTATCAGATATTTACAATTATCAGATGATTTTCAGTTATTAGATATTTACAGTTATCAGATGGTTTTCATTTATCAAATATTTACAGATATCAGATGTTTTACAATTATCAGGCACAAATTAATAAATAATTCTATGATGATACATATAAGCCCTTTGTATGTTGCATTGAGAGTCATATGTACATTTGACATGCCGTTTAGTGAGTACTTTTCAGTTATCAATTATTAGTTCAACTTTGGTACATTCATGTACTAAAGTTCAACTTTGGTACATTCATGTACTAAAGTTCAACTTTAGTACATTCATGTACTAAAGTTCAACATCGTTGGTGCTCAGGTTATGATTGCATTGAAGTGTATCATATCACATTTCAATTATGATTCAGCACCATATTGTGCCTAGTGTGCACCTTAAACTCGCGCACCTTATATTCTCTTACATATACATTGGGTTATAACAGTAAGTGTGAAAATTATGACAATATATAAATGAAAAGAACAAAGAATTGAAAAGAAAGTTATGAAATATGTTCGAATGAAAAGAACAAAAGTTATTTATGATATTTAATGATGACTTACATGATTTTTGATAAAATTATGAGATGATGATTTTCAGGTTTTCATAAGGAAAACGACCTGACTAGCCCGATTTGAAGTTTTAATTGTTTTTTTAATTTAAATTTTTAGTTTGTTGTTTATATTTTTATGGATTTTATGTTTAATCTATACTTCTGCCTCGCTAAGTTTTTCTTAGATCGTGATATTTTCATGCGTAGGTTTAAATAGAATATAGGTCGTGAAGAGAGGAGCTTGCGAACATCTTCTAGAAATCAAACCTACCGACAATATCAATAAGACATCCTTACTTTAACTTATTAGTGGCATGCACATTATATATGTTGGGTTGCTTTATCAGATTTATTTTAAAAAGGTTTGTAATAGTAATTACGAATTATTTTCTATAGTTTTGTATAATTTTAGTATTAATCATATTTATGAGTGAATAGTATAAATGTTATATTTTAAATGGTTAAAAATCAAGCGGTAGACAGTTGTATTTGGATATGAAACAACACTGAACTGCCTAATTACTGATTGGAACCAAATTAGTTTCAATAATCAAACATTATTTTATAAATTTATATAATTAAGGAAAAAATTTTAAAGTTCAAATGGAAATTCATAAATGAAACAAAATTTTTAAGCATTTAAGTTCAGCAAATGTCTGTTGAGTTGATGTGACATCTTTAGCTTTTATTACGAGATATATACGAGCTAAGAATGTTACATTTTAAATTAGGAAATGCTATATTGAATTATTCAACTATTACTAAAGGTGATGGGTGATGGACTGATGGTAAATTAACTGGTAGTATAATACAAAATATGAATAAAACATGCACCATTTTACTATTTATCAAATTATTAAAAAGATCACACATATTGCAGAGAAGTAACAAGATCAAACAAGTAGCAGTTCTATGTTTAAATAACTGTTAGTCTCACTACACTACACTTTATACACTAATTGATGAGTTCATAGGGTAAACACATGTCAAAAGAAAATATATAAAGTGGAAGAAGTTTAACTGAACTGCAAGGTTTTCAGCAGCAAATCTGAGACAAACAAATTTTAGTTCCATAGCATGATATTCATCGGGCAAGGCTAGAATTTTGGCAACAGAATTTACAGATATATTCTTGCAGAAACGGGACTCGCACACTAATTTCAATCTCTCCAGACAATACCTATCAGCTGCTGCTAACAATTTAGCTATTGGTGTTTCAGACACTAATGATTCGAAAGCAGAACTAGACCCAACACTCTCTGCATCTTCCGAAAGAGTGTCTCTGTAAATAAAGTGAAACAAGGCCTGTTTGACACATAACCAAAGAAAAAGGTAAAACTAATGACAACTAAAATAAAATAAAATAACAGGAATTAGATTAAGCCCCTAGAGGAGATCCATAAAGAAAGATGTGAAAGATTTCACCTTAAAAACCCTAGGTTCTAAAGTGGTGATAACTATCTCTTTCATTTCTCCATCCGCCCCATCAAAAAATTCAGATAAAAAAACAGGGGATCTAGCAGCTAATACCAACTTATGAGAATGATTTTTTTCTCCAGCCACATCAAATGTAATATCTGAACCTTCCATATTTTCCAGCAACATACCAAAATGTGTTCCTAGATCCGACTCTGACACCTGAATTGAGTGTAGCAGTGAAGAATCTATTGCTGAAACTACAACTCCAACAGTACAATTTATTTTCAAGCAGTCATCCTTGAGGTAATCTGATGTTTAAAGTAAAGCTCTTCTGAAGAAACGCTTGTATCCCCAAGATTAATGAGAGCATGGGAGAAATAATTACAATTCAAGTCCGGCAAACAAGTTAAGTAGACCATCCACAGATTATATTCGATTAGATAAAGCCTATAAAGTAGGCCTTACCAGATCAACCTTACAATCAAATAAATAAATCATCAGAACTGCATACGACCAGACAGCCAAAAGTACATAAAAATAGCATTTTGGAAACACAGATTTTCTACAGCTAAACACTAAGTTCCCACCATAGCAATAGCATTATCATCACACTTAATCAAGTTTCAAATTGATATCAAAAGCTAGTAAACAAGAAACTTTTATCATAAGCCCCAGCCGAAACCACATAAAGCATCATTTACCAAATCATACCAGACAGAGATGCACCTAAACAAGTTAATATTTCTATATTTCCCACATAAAAAAAAAATCTCCTACTACTTCCGGTGGCAAAGAATATAAGGTCCTATTTCCGTATAAAAGAGGCACGTCAAGAGAGATTCAAAGACCCTGTGACCTTTTAAGACGTTTATTTTTCACAAATTTCACAAATAAAGTAACACTTCTTCAAGGGTACGAACCACGCGCATTGTTGCTTCGCTACAACTTGTTTACTCACAAATTAAAATTAAAAGTTTGGTTTTTCTTTCATAAAGTACAATTCATTCATTTTCAATCAATTAAATTGCGTGTGCTTCTACCAATAGCTTCTTCCGCAGCATGTATTCATTTGATTATAAACACTCAATCAAAGAAAATTATAAGATAAAAAAAAAAAAACCTACCACATACTGCCGCGATAGTTGAGGGTATAAGGCCCACTCTCAAGGGACCGATCGAAATGGCTATAAACCTTACGCTTCCCTTTACCGCTCTGATCCACAAGCGTAAGCTCGAACAAGGCCCTAACATCGGTGCCTTCGCTAGCCAATGCAATAAAGACGGAGACGTAAGTGGAATTATCTTCGGATTTTTTACCGTCGGGGTAAAAGTAAATAGCTCACTGGTAGCAGCCCACAGTGAAATTATCGCTGGCAATGTGCTTCCCGACGCCCATCCCTTTAGCTAAGCTGTACCCCTGGATCACGAACCTGTGCGAACCGTTCATAGTCTCCGTCACCGAACGGGAGCTGGTCGGAGATATAAGCGGGCTTTGGTCAGCCTTCAGCGTCGCTGCCGGCGATGTTGCTCCGTTTGTCATTGGGAAGGTTCTTTTATGGTTCAGGGTTTTGGATTCGATGAATTGAGGAGAATTCGAATGGCATTTAGAGAATTTTATGTTGAGTAAACTACACAGTTAGTCACTAATGTTTTGGGGTATTTTTGTTTTTCTCACTGATGTTTCAAAAGTTATAAATTGGTCACTAACTTTATCGATTGGTTACAAACTGGTCACTCAATGTTAACAGTTGTTAATAGGCGTGACGGGAAACATGGTTGGCGCGTTAACTGTTTACATGGATGGGTTGATTGCCACGTTAGAAAAAGGGTAAACTACACAAATAATCACTAATGCTTGAGTAAGTTTTCATTTTCACCACTAAAGTTTCAAAAATAACAAATTGGTCACTAACGCTATCGATTTGCAACAAAACATTCACTCACCGTTAACCTCCGTTAACATGGGTGACCAAAAACTTACGTGGCCCGTTAAGTGTTAACCTGTCAACCTTTTTATTTGTTTTCTTTGTCACACTCTCTCTTTCCTTAAGCTTATATTCTACTTTTTCTGCTATAAAAATATCTTTGTAAAACCACTATTCCTTGGTCGATCAAACCCTCCATTGTAAAATAATTTTGGTTATTTTAAGGGGATCAAAGTTATCGAAAACACATATTCAAATCTTGTGATAAAAAACTTTTCTACGCTAACATCATTGTAAACGAGCTGAGCAAGAGTTGTTTTACACATGCCCCCATGCCAAAGATGGAGATGACGCAAACTTCATCGTTTCACTAGTCATCATCAATGGATGGAAGATACCTTAAACCGTAATCAAAAGCTCAGTTGACTCCGAAATGAATCGTAATCACGATTTTACATCATTAAAATATGACACCATGAATCCTTCACCTTAGGATTTCACATTCCATCCTTAAGCTTTTCCTTAGCTTTGATATTGCTTGATCTTGATTTCAAGCACACAATCTAAATAAGCATCATTACCAAACATATACAAATTTAAACCAAATGTTAGAATCTTAATAACATAGGCATACTTAGGAAAATAAATTCCTGACAAATTTTTCCATGCTTATTCGATATAATTTCCATGTCACAGCATAAATGTTGACTTTAATACTTATAATTGACAACTCAAGTTCCTTTTTATCCCAAGTTCACAAAATATTTTCACTTAAGCTCTCATCCTTTCCATATATTTGATTTCAACCTCAACTTTTACAAGCTTTCCAATTTCACATCCTAACTTCAATTTCAACACTAAAACATTAATTTCTAGCATAGTATATTAACTATTGAAAAATTACACAATAACCCACAACTTTTCCAAAATTACTAATTAGACCCTAACTTTCATAAAATTACATAATGGTCCCTAAATTTTTATAAGCCTTGTAGAATACTTCCGACATCATTTCTACCCTCTACCTAATTTTTCCATAATTTTTTCTCATCCTCTATAGTCAAGGCCGAATACTTTGTATGTTCAAGATTAGGGTTTTCATGATTTTACTCCATTTTGATTCGATTCAAGCATGAAATCAACTTCAATTCAACCTTATAAAATCTCTACAATCAAAACCCTAACTTAATTTCATCAAAACACATATTTCTCCCAAGATTAGGGTTAGGCCGAAACTTCATATGTTCATATGATCATGTACAAGTGATTTTAATCATTAATCATGCTTGGAAATGATTCTACAACCTCAATAACATCAAAATCCTTCATCAATTCCATAAAACCTAATGTGAATATAAACCCTAGAATTTGAGATCTTTGAACATAAACCAAATTAGCAAACAATAATGGTACCAAATGATAGTATTTTTTGAATAAAACAATTTTCTATTTCACGGCATGATCCAAAACCCAAAGGAAATTTCTCAAAAATGAAAAATAAAAATTCTCTTACTTTGTTCATAGGGAGCACGAAATGTTGGCTGAAAATGGCTAAATTTTCATGAAATTTCTAATGAATTTCATGTTGATTTAACCTTTATTTAAGCTGATTTTTCAAGAATGTGGAATATTATTTCAAGAATGTAATATTTGAAGGGTTAATTATGTTTTTTTATAGCTGAAAAATGCTGGAAATTTAAGTTGGAAAGTTGTTTAGAACCAAATTTCAAATTTGGTAAAAATTGAGGGTGAAATTCGAAAAGTCTCAATATTACGGGGACTTGAGTTTAAGTTTATTAAATGTGGAAGTATCATTTGAGTAAATGATTGTAATACTAGAAATTTATTTAATATGACGATTTTTTTGTTTAATTCTTAAGTTGAGATTTAATTTCAAATTTATCAAGTTGTGTGGTTGAATTTGGAAAGTCTAAGAAAGTTTAGGATGAAATTGCAAGCTTTTGAATGTTTGAATGTTGATTTAAATATTTTATTGAGGTGCTGGAAATTTTATGTGATTAATGTGAAATGATCATAATGGTGAAGGGCCATTATGGATTAAATAGGAAACTTGATATGAATTCTAAAAAGAATTCATAATTAGTGGTTGGATTATGATATTAATAAAAGTTGAAGAGTTGATAGTGAAACAAAAATATTCATGGAATTTAAGGAATATTTTGAGAAGTTTGAAATTACGATGAAAGTACGATTTAGTTTTATATCAATTTAAGTACCGATTTTTTTATTAAATTTAACATTTAAGTTTAAATTATGTTAGTTCTATGCTAATATAAAGTTTGAATATTTTATGATGTTATATCATATTGTCAGACTACGGTAAATTTAGTGATCCATGTAACTCAAAAGAGAAGGAAAATACGTTGAATTAGAAGATTATCGTGGAGAAGATTCGATAATGAGGCAAAGGTGAGTCATTTCATTTGTATATATGTTTCGACCAAACATTACCTTGCGATGAGCCAGTGTTGGAGTTACGTTAAGAAGTGACTCCTAGTATTATGTGAAGTGTGATTCAAGGTTATATGTTTATTTAGTAAGAAAATAAAGCTAGTGAATAAGTCAAGGAACCTAGTTGGTAAAATTTGCCTAGAAATTTATATTTCTAACAGTAAGTTTAGAAAATCATCGAAAAATTCTAAAACAATGATTATAGGATGAATCTTATACCATTGGATTCTTCTATCAATCTAGCTCCGTTTAGAACAAACATAAACTGATTTTGAAGAGTATATAAAAAGATATGAATTTTTAATCAGTGATAGGTTAGAAAACAAGACATCAGATTCTGTCCAAAACAACTTATGCAAGTCAACTTTGAAAATTTTCTATAAATTGTACAAGTGGAACTAGACGAAGTGCATTATATGGTTAGATTTGCATTTGAGTCTAGATTTTAGCGGTGGAAACGAAATAATTTTTCAATATATAGATTAATACAGAATAATATTTCTTTGAAGGTAGCGCAAACTATCAGAATATGAAATTTTCAATAAATTGTGTAGTGGAAGCAATTTTTAAAGCTTAATGAGGCTTATATTTGATTTACATGTAAATTGTTCAAATGAGTCTAGTTTATTTATTTAATTACTTTGATTGAGGACGACTTGCGATAAGTCAACCTCATTTTATTTTCCAGTATGATTTATAAATTTTCAGTAAGGAATATTTATATAATATTCTTCATCAGGTTTTTATGAATGATTTTGAGTATGAACCCAAGTATGATATTTATGATGATGAATTCTAAATGTTTACGATTATCAAACATTTCACCGTTATCAGATATTTACAATTATCAGATGATTTTCAGTTATTAGATATTTACAGTTATCAGATGGTTTTCATTTATCAAATATTTACAGATATCATATGTTTTACAATTATCAGGCACAAATTAATAAATAATTCTATGATGACACATATATGCCCATTGTATGTTGCATTGAGAGTCATATGTACATTTGACATTCCGTTTAGTGAGTACTTTTCAGGTATCAATTATCAGTTTAGCTTTGGTACATTCATGTACTAATGTTCAGCACCGTTGGTGCTTAGGTTATGATTGCACCCGAAGTGCATTATATCGCAGTTTCAATTATGATTCAGCCCATGTTTTGCCTATTGCGCACCTTAAACTCGCGTACCTTATATTCTCTTACATATACATTGGGTTATAACAGTAAGTGTGAAAATCCAATATATAAATGAAAAGAACAAAGAATTGAAAAGAAAGTTATGAAATATGTTCGAATGAAAAGGCAAAAGTTATTTATTATATTTAATGATGACTTACATGATTTTTGATAAAATTATGAGATGATGGTTTTCAGGTTTTCATAAGGAAAATGGCTTGACTAGCCCGATTTGAAGTTTTAATTGTTTTTTAATTTAAATTTTCAGTTTGTTGTTTATATTTTTATGGATTTTATGTTTAAGCTATACTTCTGCCTCACTAAGTTTTACTTAGAG